CCCCCAAGCCTTCTGGCAGAGCCAGGATTTGATCTCTTTCCTGAAGGCCATGAGGGAGGGAACACCACACCTCAGGCGGCAAGATGTTCCATAGGGCGGACGCTACAGCAGAAAAGGCGCTCTGCCTAGACCCCACCAATCAAAATTCCTTGAGGGGTGGGGTCTGCAATCTGCCCCTTCTGCTGGACTGAGTGGGGCGGGCTGAGATGACCGCATTATTGTAGAATAGCTTACAGCAGTATTCCTGATGTTTATAACACTTTTAAATTCTACTCTTATTTGAGGAGGAGTGCCATATATTTTTTCTATGACTTATTCTATTAAATTATTTGAAACCCCTAAGTAAAAAGCATACTATTTCATGCTGTAACTTCGGTGATATGAAAATGAAGGTTCCATAGGGAAGGTGATTATGAGATATAAATTACCTTTGATTTAAACATATGTTTTTAGGTTCCATCAGTCCTCATAAAAGAAGAACATAAATTATGTAATACTTGCCCAGATGACTCCAAGCAAAGTATGGTAAGATTTCTTTTCAAGTTTCATTCTATCTCAGCTTGTTATTTCAGCTTGTTAGTTCTTACCATTTTCCTCCTCCTGTTTGATTTTTCCTTTTTTTTTTTTTTTAAGTTTACTGTCCTGTCCCAGGCTTCACACTTTCTCTCTCTCACACACAAGAAAAACAGTTCAAAGCTTACTTGGGAAAGTAATTCCAGCAGTAGCAGGCAGGGCATGTATGCAGATGCACACACAATTTCAAATACTCCGAAATCCCTTGGAAACTTACAAAGTCCCAGTAAGCAAAGTTCCAAGTAGCAGGCAGAAGTGTACTCAAGGGCACAGTCCAGAGGTCGTGGAGTCATCATAGGTCAGCAGATGGTCTGTGTTCAAGAGCACAGAGTTATCAGAGGCAAGAGTTGAGAGTGCAGTGGACAGAAATTCCAGTAAATGCAGTTGTTCCAAACAAAGGATTGCTTGCTGATGGTGGCTCTAAAATAGAGCCCCACCAGATGCAAGCACTCACCAATGGGAACACCCTTGCCTCACAAGAACCATGCAGACCTCCTCTGTTCTGCCCTTCACTCAGCCCTGCGTGCCTTAGAGCTAGGAGGAGGTCCTGGATCAGGCCCATCCTCTTCTGCTGCATCCAGCTGCTCCACATACTCTGCAGCCACATGTGTTCCAGATGTCATAACCCCTTTTTCCTAAGGGTTGATAAGGAGAGTGCCATCTAACATCATGGGAGAGGGTATTCCATAAGATTAGAGAAGCCACAGAAAAGTCCTGATTCTGCAGCCTTGCAACCTGGAGGTAGGGTTACCAAAGAATACTCTCCCAAGTACAGTACACAGGACAGGCAGACTATGGTCAGAGAAGAGGGTTCCGCAGATACTGAGGGCCTAAGCCGTATAGAGCTTTGTAGGTAATGACAAGCACTTTGAAATTTACCTGGAAACTAAAACAGCTTTTGCAGTATAGATGTTATTCTACTGAAATGATCCTGGTTAGTCAACAACCAGGCAGCTTTATTTTGGACCACTTGTAATTTTGGAACAGTCTTCTAAGGCAACACCATGTAGAACACATTATAGTAATGCAGCTACAAGGTGATGAAGGTATTGCCAAAGCATATCATTCCAGGATCAACCATATCTAGTGTACTAGCCTAACCCAGTCAGAGGCTATCCTGATCATAGCCCCTATCTACTGCTCTACTGCTGAATCTAGAATTTCCAGATCATGTGACTGATCTTTCTAGGGTTGTATAACCCCATTTTAAGCCACAGCTGGAACCAACCTGAATCCAAATGGTTTCTGGATAAGTGGTCAATCTTTCTTGCTGGGATTTAATTTGAACCTCTTTCCTCCATCCAGTCCTTTACAGCATCCATATATCAGGTAAGGATCTCCACAGCATCTCCTGCTAAGTCAGTACAGCTGGGTATTACCAGCCTATTGATGACATCTCACTCCAAGTCTTACCCAGTGGTTTCATGTAGATGGTAAATAGAATGTTAAATAGTTGTTATAACCACTATTCAGATATAATATTCCAATATTTCAGAAATGACTTTAAATTAACTAATAGATGAGTGTCTATACCTTAAGTGCCTGTCAATACACTGCATATACTAATTAGTTTGTGAGATGGTACAACAACATGCTGGCTCACAAGGTAGTCCCTGAATTAGAAATCTTAGCTTGCACATAATAGTTCAAACAGGTTTGGGGTAAAACTGGGCTTTGATTTTGGCATACTGCCCAAAATGTGCCCAAATTAATCAGTATCATGTCATTCATATCAACAGGGAATGTTACATGTGACAGGGTCCAACTAATTTCTGTGTCTATTTAAAAGCATCATGTGGAGGCCTTGATTGACCAAAGCAAAGATGGGTGGTGGTAATCAATATGTATGGGCCCATCTGGTGATATCTGTGGCATCCAAGATGAAAGTAAGAGAAATACAGTAGATCTGAATGAAAGTAGTTTGATCTTGTGAAGTTGATGACTATATGCCAGAAGTGAACATTTAGGTTTAATTATGAATCAACAAAAAGGCAAAAATGTATGTTAGAAAGTATGAATTGGTGTAATTTAGACTGTACACATGAAAGTAAGTTGATCCATGTAGCTTTTTCTTAGGAGTTGGGTTGAACAAACTTAGATTACAAAATGATTCTGCAAACATAAAGTCTGTTCCTGAATAAGAAAGTTGTAAATAGCACTTCACTGAATCTTTAACCCTAGACATGCAAATAAAGAATAATTGCACATTTGCATAATACGTACTTTTGCACATTTGGCTGCATATGGAAGAATCATTAAACATTTGTGTTATTGTAAGTTTACTTACATTTTACTAAAAAAATGAATTTATAGCAGCTTTAAGCAGAGCAATTGATTATTATAGCTAATTAGTCCATTGCATAGGTATCACTTTCCTCTTTTTTTTCCAGATTGGAGAAGCCATTGGAGATAATAGTAGTTCTGTTTTGGACTTTCTATCTATGAAAACATATTCAGATATGTCACTTGATATATCCATGTTGAGTTCATTAGGTAGGTGTTCTTATACAGGAGTTCAGCACTGAAGATATAATCCAGTAGTGTATATATTATCTGTTCCATTAGTCCAGGGGTTCTCAAAGTACGACCCGCGGGCCGGATTTGGCCCGCCAGGGTCATTTATCCAGACCACCCGTCTGATTGGCCACCGCTGCTGTCTGTCAGAAGCGGAAGTGTCGGGGCTGTGTCGCGAGCTGCAGGCGATGCACGAGAAGGGAGATCGCAGAGCCGGACTATTCTACATGACAGGTATGCCGGGTCCGGCGGCTCTCCTCTCCTCAAACTATAGTCCGGCCCCCCAACATTCTGAGGGACTGTGAACTGGCCCCCTGTTTAAAAAGTTTGAGGACCCCTGCATTAGTCCATTGAACTGCTTGGGAATTGCTGGGGTTTTGACATAAAAGTTAATAAGCTGTTTTTTGTTCTAAAGATCTGTACACATATGCGTACACACACACACACACACACACACACACACACACATAATGTATGCTTTGTCCATTCTAACACCATACTATGAAAATCATGGGCTCTGGACAGCAGCAGCTGTGGGGGGGGGCAGAATGAGAAAAGCAGTGTTGTAGTGTCATAACACAAGCTCTGCCCCTTTTATATATGCATCATAACGTTGTATGCCCATATGAAAAGTGTGGAGCATTCTAACAAAAGCAGCAAGCTTCTACAGATGCCCATGGCTCTAGGCTGGTTGTCAGTTATCTAACCCAGTCCTCATCTATTCCTCTTAAGTTGCTAATTCAAACAGCCTATGGCATACTTTCCATCTCTAAGTGCTAATATATGCTTATTCAATTTATTCCATCTAAACTGCTGGGAAGAATGCTCACCTCCTAAAAGCTCCCTTGCTCAGAAAAGAATGAGTAAATCAAGTCATAAGATAGGAAGACCTATCAGGGAGAATCTTGCATTTGCAGCAGTCACACAATCTAGTATCTTACAGGATTTCATCTGGAAGCATCAAAACCTTGTGTGAAATTATGAGGTTTGAAACATTTTAACTTTTTAAAAAAATATTTATTTAATTTAGGGTTCTACTTAGACCATCTGCAGAAGGTCACACATATCATAGTGATCACAGGCACTAAGTTGCTGACTCCTGGTTTTATGTAGTCCTCAAAAGACTCTGATGGTGATGTACTGCTTCATATAAGGAAGAGCGTGGGAACTGATATATTAGAGACATCATAGAGTGATTGATATGTTGACAGTGATGCGGTGATTACTAGAAGTCAGCATGCATTTATAAATACAAGTTTTGCTAAAACAATTCCATTTCATTTTTTATGGGGTAATTTCTTTAACAGAGTATGGAATATAATATATCTTGATTTCATTTAGATATTTGATAAATACATTCTGACAAAGCAGTTTAGCTAAATGAGTAGATTTGTGCTGTGATAATTAAGTGGATCATAACTGTCTGGAAAATTGCACTCAAATTGCATATAAATCAAGAAAAGTATAGAGTGGGATGCCATTGGGCTTGATCTTAGGTCCAGTACTATTCAACATTTTTAATAATGAGCTGGTGAAAGAGGCAGAGAATACTTACTAGATCTGTGGCTGACACAAAATCATGTTAGATAGGAAATATTGCAGAAGACAGAAATAGAATTCAAAATAATTATGGTGGGCTCTTTGTTGGATTCAAGCAGAGGCTGACAACCATTTCAGAGAAGCATTTATCTCAATTCCTAGATTTAGAAATAGGCTGAATTTGATGGCTTAACATTCCACAGAGTACCTTTTTCTTTTTTCCTTGTGACTGAGCATGCTTAAAAACAAAGTACTGGATTGCAGTTAACCTGCCACTTTTACTTGTTAAGACTGCCTGTGTAGGGCCAAAGCATTCTTAGAAATAAAGATGGTGTTTCCCTTTGCATTTTTCTGTTTAAAATAATAATAATTTAATTTAAAACAAAACAAAACAGGAAGAATACGAAATTAGGTGAGCACCCAGGGAAGTATCCATTAACCTTTTGGATACCCCATTCTTACGATTTATTCAGCATATGTTGGTTTTATCTACCTTTACTGTAAGACAAGATTGATGGAAGAATGGAGTAACAAATCTCTGATTGTTAACTTCTTAAACCAGTCATCCCAAACCCATTTTGTATTCAATAATCTAATGTTGTTGACAGGTAAAGTAAAGAAAGAGTTTGATCATGATGACAATCATTTACACTTGGATGAAACAACTAAATTATTACAGGACCTTCATGAGGTACAGACGGACAGAATAGGATCCAGGCCTTCTTCTAACCTCAGTTCCCTCTCTAATGCTTCTGAAAGGGATCAACATCATCTAGGTAAATCTGTTTAACAGTATGATTACCAAAATCTTTTTATTTCCATTAAAAGTTGTGTGATTATGAAGGTATTGAGTATATTCATGTTGTGTAAATAACTGGTTTCTTTGGGTTTTTTTAACATCTAGCATCCAGTAGACTTGTCTTCTCCTCCCCTTCCCTCCATCTTGCCCATTTCATAGATGGATTTCAATTGTAAACTAGAAATCTTTTAAAAGCCAGAATGTAAATACTAAGTTGTAAATAAGTAAATACAGATCGAGAAATTTGACCAAATTGATTTCAGCACTATAATGTATTTTATTTTAAAATATACATTTAGTATTGTTTTATCAAATTAATTGAGATGACTCTGACATACTGTAGTTCCAAAACAGACACTTTAAATCTATAAACATTTAAATAAAATTATTGGCAGTATAGAGAAACACAAAATATGTTATAAAAGTTATATTTCACAGTAGAAGAGTTTATTCATCTCAGAATTTATTATTCTCAGTGAGTTTATTTCATCATTACAGAGCACCACAGAAAAGTTTCTACTCCTACTCATTATTAATCGCTCACTTTTAATAGGAGAAAGTAAACAGAATTTATAGTTCTTTGCCTTTGGTCATTGAAGACATATCCAGACAGACAGTTTAATGTGTTTTCCTTAGTCCATGTGGCAGCGAAAAGTATGGTTTGTCTACATAACTTCTTACCACTTTGCCTTGGTAAGACAGCAAGTGATACTGTCATAACAATTTACTACAGAGCAAGTTAAGATGCAGTGGGAAAAACATCCATTAGTTGTTGCACTGAATATGGACTATGGAAGAAGGTGACATATGACAGATAAATGGAGTGGTAAATTTAATTATGAGTCAGAACTTTAAACAGAAGGACTGCTCTAATGATCTCAGTATGACCTCCTGTCAGATCTCTCAGAGCATTTGTATGCAAGTTTAAATGGTAGACCAGGACTTCTCCAATCACCTTCCTGTCAGATCCATGTAGAGACAGCATAGCAATCTGCCAGTCAGGGCATTAGACTGTACATGGGTCTGAAGACACTCACCCAAGATTGCTGAAGTAATGGGCCTTTGTTGTTCTGACTAGAGAAGTCCTGGTCTACCACTTTCTGTAGCAATCGTGTCATATCAGACCAGCAACATAAACCAAAATGGCCATGAAGAAAGTTGGAATAAGCGGAGAAGAAGGGACATACAGCAGCTAAAAACTGTCAGTAGGAGCTGGCTAGATCTCAGCCACTGCCATTTCATCATCATAGTTGCCACTGAAAGCTTGTGTCAGGAGAAAATAGAAAATACCAGATCAGAAAAACCCAAAGTTAGTTGGCCTCAGTTGTACGCTGAGGATGAGAGGAAAGCTGTGGTATGTAGGCATATCCTTAAAAATAGTCTTTTTTGAGCCAAAACTAGACTGATGTGTGGATGAACCTTCAGGAATCATGTCATGATAAAACTGCATTGTGAATTAGTTCGCTGCTGTTACATGCACCTAATTTGCTTCTCCCTCAAGTAAACAGATATATAGTCTAGATTACAATACCTTAATAAACTAGGATTATGGTTTATTATGCCAAAACTATTCACCTAATATCTAACCCTGTTTAATGCCAATAATCCTAAATACAAATGTATGTCTGTCCACCTACCGCCTCAATTACAAAGGTAACTCTAGGTGGATTACGTGTTAAGATTAAAACAACCATAGGAATATAATACAGAAAACAATAGTAATACACAGCTATACATTATGGAGGATGACCAACACTAAACAATTATAGCAATCTGTATTAAATTATCAGAGAGTAGGCCACTGCATCCTACCGCAAGGCCTGCTGGAACAAGTAAGTTTTCATAGCTTTATGAAAGCCCTGCAGGGTCTGGGCCAGACAAACCTCAGGGCAGACATAGATGTGGAGAAGGTACCCCTCCTAGGTCCCACAGGAAGGCAGTGCTTTATGCCTGACTTGGAGTTCACCCACTTTGGTTGGGCAGAGATAACAGAAGAAAGATAGTCCTATAGGTAATTGGGTCCTAAGCAATGTGGAGCTCTATAGCTGACAACCCAGAATACCACTGGTAACCAGTGCAGCTCATAGACCAGAAGTGTTACTTGGGCAAAACAAGAAATACCCATAAACGTTCGTGTGGCTGAATTCTAGACCAGTTGTAGCTTCCACGTACTTGGCAAGGGTCGCCTCATGTAGACCACATTGCAGTAATCCAGATGGAAGGTGACCACAGCATGAGTGACTATAAGAACAGCCTCCCATACCAGAAAAGGATGCAGTTGGCACATGAAATGGATTTGTGCAAAGCCCCTCCTGGCTATGGCTGCCATCTGCTTATTAGCAGTAGCCAAGAGTTCAGGAAGATCCCCAACCTGTGTATCAGTTCTACCTAGAGAAATATAATTCTGCTGAGAACTAAAGATAGTAAATTTCTGTGACTGGAAGGTCATTGAAATCAAAGTCACTCAGTCTTACCAATAGAGGCGAATCACTCAGTCTTGCTCAGATTGAGCTTCACCCTGTTCCCATCCAGACCCTTACAGGCTCTAGGCACTGGGACAGGACTTCTGCAGTGTTACATGTCTGGGCCAGGGTTCAGCTAGGTATTATCTGCATACTGATGGTACCTGACCCCATGCCAATGGATGACTTGTCCAGTGGCCTCATGTAGATTTTGAATAGGAGTGGAGAGAGCATTAAGCCATGTGGGGTCCTGTATAGTAAGGGTCTTGGATTAGATCTCTCTTCACCTACCAACACTAAGTGGAATCAGCCCTAGAGGAAGAAGGAAAAACACAGTAATACAACGCCTGCTACTCCCAATTCTCAGAGATCATCCAGAAGGATACTATGATTGATTATATTGAAGCTGCTGAGAAGTCAGGCAGAACCAGTAGGACCACAACACCCATTCCGGTCTCACTGTGCATAAGCAGTCTCAAAGCTGTACCCAGATCTACATGAAAATGACCCGATAAACTACCTTCTCCATCACCATCTCCCAAAAGGACATGATGCAACAGCTTCTTCAGGAGAAGACATACCATTGCTTCCTTTAAGGCAGGTGGGATAGCCCTCTAACTCAAGGATGAATTCACCATTTGAATCCAGCTGTCAGGTCCTCAATAAAAGCAATCCTCATTGAAACCGACACGGGTTCATGGATAAGAAGTTTTATTGAAGAAACAGAAGCACACCGTGATATGGCAAAAAGAAAATAGCTGGAACTAAATCCCCCCAGCCAAACCCCAAATTTAAAGCCCTTTCCTTTCCCCCTCCCCCTTGATCATTAGCCCTTTTTGCTCAGGGTGTCGAGGCTCTCCGATTTCCTCCATTGCCAGGTTCTTAATTGCCCTGATGGTTCGGGAAATGGCTTGCCAGCATCGAGCAGTCCTCACTCTAATCTTCTTCCCCACTCCTGCCGGAACGGCAGAACTGCAACGGTTTAAGCATACATGCGAAAGAACAATTGTGAGGATTCTGATATGCCACCCCCCCCCCCAAAAAGAGAAGCAACTCCGGTCTTCATGGAATGAACCTGGGGAGAGACTAGAGAAAGGAAATAAAACATATACACCATCCCACCCCATTCACTATCTAGGTTTGTTGGGATATTTTTTATAAAAGTTTCTGACTAATTGGGGCGCCTTAACGTCCATTTCATCCACCCACTCGCTCTGCACCACCAGGAAGTGCTTCCACCACACGAGGAATTGCAGCTTCCTCCTCCGTGTCCTGGAGCCCAGAATTTCTTGAACCTCAAAATGCTGCTGTCCATTAATAATTATGGGTTCAGGTTGGTGTTGCGTGGGGTGCCATTTGTGGGATCCCTTGAACAGTTTTAGGAGGCTGAAATGAAAAATTGGATGAATCCTCCTGAGGGACTTCGGCAGTTTTAGTTGGAACGCCACAGGGTTAATGATTTTCTCGATCAGAAAGGGACCAATAAACTTGGGTCCAAGCTTTTTTGAGGGTTGTGCCGTTTTAAGATATTTAGTTGACAGGTACACTAGGTCCCCAACTTTCCATTGTTTTTCAGGGGTGTGCTTGCAATCGGCGTATTTCTTGTAGTCATCCCGGGCATCTTGGAACGCTGTTTTAACAATTGGCCATTGGTCAGTTAATTGATCCACTCATCAAGTGACAACATGTGGGTGACTTCTTGAGGGAAATTTGGGGACAGCTACAAAATCCTGTCCCATGGCAACTTTGAAGAGGGTATGTCCAGTGCTATGATGCACTGCGTTATTGTAGGCAACCTCAGTAAAGGGAAGCACCTGTGCCTAATTGTCCTGTTGATAGTAAATGAAACACTGTAAATACTGTTCCAATACAGCGTTCAGACATTCAGTAGCCCCATCCGTCTGGGGATAGCTAGCGGAACTAAAGGCTTGGCTTGACCCAATTACCCTCCAGAACTTTAATGTGAACTGTGTGCCGCGATCGGAAATTATTCGTGTCAGGACTCCATGTAACTGGTAGATGTGTTGTATGAACAACTTAGCTAGTTTGTTCACTGTGGGTAGGGATACACACGCCATGAAATGGGCTTCTTTTGAAAATAAGTCGGTCACCACCCAAACCACCATGTTTCATTTGCTCTCGGGCAGATCTACAATGAAGTCCATAGTGATCTCCCTCTAGGGCTTTTCTGAGTTCGCTAATGTCTATAAGAGCCCTGCCGGCTTAACGCCTAATCTCTTCGCCATAGCGCAGGTAGGGCACCCAGCTACATACTCGGCAATGTCCCCGTGTATAGAGGGCCACCAGAATTGCCGGTGTAAAAGGTGCAAAGTTTTAACAAAGCCAAAGTGCCCCGCTGTCTTGCTATTGTGGCCCTTCTGCAGTACCAATTTTCTGGCTTCCTCCGGGACATATAATTTGCTGCCCCTCCTCCACACCTTGTTGTGGGTCTCCAAGGTGTCTTTATTCTGTTGGAACCATTTGTTGTTTTGCAACTTGTTGCAAAAATCATTTAAAAAGTCCCATGCTGGGTGTAGCCCCCCTTCCGCCCAGGTTGCCGCCCTCAGCCCGGTGTGGGGTTCGGGTATAACGGCCACAATCACTGTTTCCCTTTGGCTGTCATGCTGCGGTAATCTAGATAGAGTGTCTGCCAAAAAGTTCTTCCCCCTGATATATGCTTTAACGCAAAATTGAAGCAGCTGAAAAACTGCGCCCACCTCATAAGCTTTGACGATAGCTTCCTCGGCGACCGTAGCACTTCTAAATTCTTGTGATGGGTCCATACCTCGACTGGTCAAACCATCGTGAGGATTCTGACACCAGCCATTAGTTACCTCCTGGGAGGCCTTGGCCAAGAAGATACAGGTGGCAGCACTTACATTACTGGCAGCACTTACATTACTGAGACCCTGTCTATTTCCTCAAGATTCACATGCTTAAACTATTCCCAGATAATAGACCCCTCCCCAGTCAGCTCCATAGGACCTGCCCAGTCAGTGTTCAACTCTAAACCAGTCACAGTAACTATGTCCTCACAGAACATAGTGAATATATTCCTCACAGCAGTCCTTAAGAAATTCTTTATGTGACTTGCAATCTAATACTTTTTTTTGTAGACCTCAGAGCTTTCTCTAACTTTCAACAATGAGGCGAACAAAAATCACAATGTTGGAATCTGAAATATATGAAAACTGGAATGTAACATGAATAGTAAGATTTATACAGTTTTTTTAAAAAGCCCACCTGCCATTGCAAAGGACAAGCAATGAAAAATGAAGCCTAGACTGCTATTGCCCAGCTAACTGGAGCCTTCACTGCATTGTTAATTTTGGCAACATTTTTTCTGACCAATTAATACAGATTGGAATTATTAATTTGGATCACATTGATTTTTTAAAAAGTAATAGATATTTGAGAAGTGAAGCTTTCAAAATGTCTTAATTAATAATGATTTAAAATTATTTTTTCCTTCCATATTTTATACAGGAAGCCCGTCTCACTTAAGTATAGGAGAACAGCAAGACATGGTCCATGACCCCTATGAATTTCTTCAGTCTCCAGAACCTACAAATGTCAATAATTAATTTCACATATATTGTATATATTAACTATGAAACATTTCATAGACTCCCACCAAACAGTAGGCATTTCAACTCTTTCTTTCCTCCCCAACTCCCAAATAAGAATTACTGCTTAGTTATGTTTATACATTTTACTTGGATAAAATACATCATGGTATTTGTTCCATCCCAAACAATATTTTAGGAATATGTACAATAATCTGGAGTTACAAATTATGTATTTAAGAAAACCTGTTTATAAAAATGGCTAACCAGCTGTTTATCATGCTGTTGATTGCTACACATACTTAATGTACAACTGTGGCTATATAGAAAGTTCTCTAAGATAAATTTATTTCATTTGTGATACAATTTTCAGAAATAGGGTGGTTTCATATTTTCCCTTCTATCAGTTTTTCATTGCCAAGATGGTTTGATGAAAAGAAAGTTGTTGACTCTTCATTTAGAATGAAAAACAAAGTACTCTTGAGAACTTTTTAAAATTAAGTTGAAATTTGATATCGTATGATTTTAAACATTATGTACAAACCAGTCCCTTCTATCAGTTTTTCATTGCCAAGATGGTCTGATGAAAAGAAAGTTGTTGACTCTTCATTTAGAATGAAAAACAAAGTACTCTTGAGAACTTTTTAAAATTAAGTTTGAAATTTGATATCGTATGATTTTAAACATTATGTACAAACCAGAATAATACATTCATTAACAATATTGTAAATATTAATAAAAATGTACTTGTGTTCTGGTGTTCCCAGTTCATAATTTGTCAGCTTGAATTAACTTAAACTTTGATTTTCTATGTATGAATCAGTTTGCAGTTTTAAGATACCTTGCAGCAGGGGTCTCAAACATGTGGCCCAATGGCTGCATGTGGCCTGCTGAATTCTTTTGTGCAGCCCACATTAACTCACCCATCAGGCACTGCTGTCTCAGTTTCTCTGCCCATCTTTGCCTCTGAAGGCCCCTGCTTTCCACTACCATCCTGCTTTGCTACCTTTCTACTTTGTTCCTTTATTCATTGACTTGCCTCTTCCCCCACTGTTTGTTCATGTTTGTGGATTGGGACAGGTTTTTTTGCAAGACTGAGCTCATGTGCAGCTGTGACAGCACTGGTGCCAAAGAGTACATGATGATGCTGGGTGTTGGAGGGGTATGGTAACCACATTGGGAGCCAGAGGGGTACATGACAGCACTGGAGCACAGAACAACATACAGTAGTGGCTGAGGTATGCAACAATATATAGGTTAGCCAGAGAAGATCAAAGTGCTTCATTTTTGCTTGCTGCAAGAACCCATGACAATGCATTTTACTGTTTTATAGTAACAAATTTCTGCTTTTATTAACCATCAGTAGTGTCAATTTAATGTTAATAATTACTAATTATAAATTATTTATTATTTGATAATGCATTTTAATCTTTGTCGCATTTTTCATGTTTATAAATGTGGCCTTAAATCAGTGCATTTTATGTAAGATTGTCCCCATATTCATTTTGTTCAAGATCCCTGCCTTAGAGTACAGGTAGTCCTTGCTTACCGACGGTAATTGGGACCGGGTACTCTGTCACTAAGTGACACAGTTGTAAGGTGCAATGTCAAATGGCCATGCTAACTTATGACAGCAGTTCCAGCAGTCTCAGTTGCCGTTGTTAGGCAAATCCTATGTGGTTGCAGCATTTCACAGTCACATGATCGCCATTTGCAACCTCCTACCGGCTTCCTCGTTGATTTTGCTTGTTGGAACCTGGCAGTGAAGGTTGCAAATGGCAATCATGTGATCATTGGGATGATGCAACATTATTGGAAACTGGTTGCTGAGTGTCTGAATTGCGATGACATGACCTCAGGGATGCTGTGACAGCTGCAACTATGAGGACTGGTTGTAAGTACCCCTCATTCAATGCCAGTAACTTCAAACAGTCACTGAACGAGTGGACGTTAAACATGGAATACCTGTATGAAATTCTCATTCATGCAGTAAATCTTCAGGACACCTGTATTTACTTACTAACAGTGTTGGAATTATTTCCTGCTTTCTCTAACTTTGAGACTTACAGTGAGACTGGCAAAAGGCTCAGAAGCTGTCCTAACCCTAACCCTATCATATGTGGGGGAGGAGAACAGTAAAAACAATGCATGCTGTTCATTTTGTATGAGGATGAAAACCATGAATGCTTGGCTAGGGGTACTTGTCAAAACTGCATGTGATGAGATTCTTTGACTAGGTGGACTGTGGAAAACTGAATTAGAAAATATCTCTGATAAAGAGGAAGTATCAGAGTAGACAAAGTCAAAGTAATTAAAAGAGGCAGAGTAGGCATGGAGATGAAGGGAAGAGTAGCTGATTGAAACATCACCTCTTGGACTGAACCAAGAACTGCCATCTCCCTGCTGACATTGACCAACCAGGAGGGACATGGATCTAATACATAGGTGGCAGAGTTCACAGCTGCAAGGAGCCTATCAGCCTCAGGGCTAACCATGTAAAACTCATCCCAGAAAACTGGGTAAGACTGTGCTTCAGTCATTTCCATAGGACCTGCCTAGCTAGTGTCCCACTCTGAGTGGATCCAAAGCATTTTGCCCAACAGATGGTGCAAATAGTCTTCACAGTGATCCTGCAAGGCTCCCCTATCCGCCCTTACCCAGAAGGGATCTGGTCGCCTGGCTATTTCAGAGCTAATGGTCTTGTCCTGTTACAGGGGGGTGCAGGAATGGGTGGGACCTGCGTGGTCTCTTGCTGGGGCTTGGACACCCTGTCAAAGTCTGCTGAGTGCATGGCAGGTGCTGTTGGAGTGACAGGATTCAAGTAGGACAAGATGGGTCATTGGGAGGGGATTGAGCTGCTGTATCTTTAAGGGGGAGAGAGATTGGTCTATGTATGATTGTGCCTGGGAGGGAAATGTGGAAGGTGGGGTTGGGATGGGGCTGAGGGAGATATGGTGGGAACTTGAGGGCAGTTCCCTTGTTCAGCCCTTGGCTTCCACCCTCAGTGCCTGGCAATTGGATCCTTAGTGGCCCTGGACTTCAGCTGTTGCTTTTGAATGCCAGGTCAGTGTGTAACAACGCTGCCCTCATCCATGATCTCATCTTGAATGAGGGTGCCAGCCTTACCAAAACTTCTTTGGGCCCAGGGGGCCACCTCTTGGAAACATGCTCAGGTTTGGGGTTCTGAACCAGCTGAGAGCCCGGTGAGGGGAGAAGGAGTGGCTGTTTTCATCTGTGAGTAACTATAGGCTTTCAGAGACTCCACAGATAATTAGATGTGGGGTGCTCTGGTTGAAGTTGGGCTTAAAAGAACAGTTGGGATTGTTCTGGTGTACCACTCTCCCTACTGCCTGGCAGCATTCTGCCTGAATTGCTGCATTCCATTGCCAGGTTGGCAATAGAGTCCTCAAGCCTGCTTGGGGATTTTAATTTGCCACCCAGTGATGTTGAGTCTGGGGTGGCTCAGGAGTTTGTGGCCTCTGTGTCAACCTTGGATCTGTCCCATCAACTGGTGGTCATATGTTGGATCTGGTTTTTGTCTCAGGGTGGTTGAGATGTGATTTGGCAGTGGAGAACATTGACACCAGTCTGTTGCCATGGGCAGATAATTATCTGGTAGCCTTTTGATTCCCTGGTGTCACTCCTCCCTGCAGGGAGACAGGAGCAGTTCAATCAGCCTGCCCCAGGCAATCGATGGTTCTAGGGAGACCTTGGAGTTTTCCCTGAGGATCTGGTGGGCAGTTTGGCTGAGGCCCTAGTTTCCATGTGAAATGGGCAGGTGGCTGGGGCTTTGGACTGTTTCATCCCTATGAAGCCTTTCTCTGCGTGCCAATCCCAAGGTGCACATTAGTTTATTGAGGAGCTCTGGGGGACGAAGCACCAGAAGAGACACCTCAAGTGCCGATGCAGAAGACTCAAAGCAAGTCTGACCAGACACAGATAAGAGCCCATATTAGGGATTACCTCATGGTAATAAGGCCAGCAAAAAAACAGTTTTTCTCTGCTTTTACTGCATCTGGTGCTAGCTGAGTGGTGGCCCTGTTCAGGGTGGCCTAGTTCCTATTGGTAGGGAGAGCCCCTCAGAAAAACTGCGGGGCTGCTGTAAGGATTATTCAGGCTATCTGGCAGATAAAGTCACTCAGATCTGCTCTGACTTGGACTCTGAATGGGCAGGGCAGGCTGAGGTGACTGGGGCATGGTCTGGTGGTATGAGCTGGATGAATATGAGCCTGTACTCTTGAGGAAGTGGATAGGGTTTTCTGTGTTATTAGCTCAGACACCTTTTTGCTGTATCTGGGCCTCTCCTGGGTTGTAAAAGCAGCCAAGGAGGTGACCCATGGTTGGGTTCATACTATGATGTTGGCCTTTTTGATGGAGGGGATGATATTTTGTACAAGAGGCAGTGGTGCACCCCCTCCTCAAGAGGCCATCCCTGGACCCAACGGTTTTCAATAACAGCCGTTCAGTCTCCAACCTTCCCTTTCTGGTTGGTCTGCAGTTGATGAGAATCCTGGAAAAAACTGATTATTTAGACCCGTTTCAGTCAGGTTTCAGGCCAGGATTTAGTACTAAGACAGCTTTGGTTACACTTCTAAATGATCTGTGGCAGAGCCAGATGGAGGTGGTGCATCCATCTTTGTGCTCCTTGATCACTCAGTGGCTTTTGATACTGTTGACAATGGTATCCTTCTGAACCAGTTCCGTGGGCTAGGGATACCACACTCTCCTATCTTTCATGTTCTATGCTGACAACTTATCACACAACCATGCACACCTACTTTATGTCCTTGGGACATTTTAGTACCTCCTATGGTTCCCCATGGACTGACTATAAAAGATTTCATGCCAGGTCAGGAATAAATTTTGACTCTCCAGTTCTTTAACCCTGTGCACAGGGATTTGCTTACAGAAGTAGTTCATTTTATATATACATATACATATACATACATACATATATTTGTCACATTTATATAGCACATGGAGGCAACATGGCTAGATAAAGTGCTTTAGTGCAGAGCTAATAGAAATCATACATATGGAGAGCTGCATCCTGAGGAACGCAGAAATCATGTTCCAGGGTTTAAATCTTAGGCCTTCCCATCTTTTCAAGTCAACCAAATTTTGGTGTTTTCTTCTGGGCTTTGGGATTGTAAGGCATTGCAGTAAAATATAACTCTCTGGACACTTAATCTGTTATTTAACAATTGGCTTAACTGGGCAAAACACAGACATGACTCAAGTAGATAGTAGAATTGATATTCTGATATTTGCTTTCCTTCTGATATTTTGCTTTCTGCAATGTAAAGAAATTGAAGCCTGTCTATAGGTTTAAAGTTCCTCCCTTTTCAAATTGGTACTTGGCTGAGAGGCAACTGAATTATGTTTACATAATTATTCTGGGAAGTGCTGTTTATTGTCTTGCAAATTCAGCCATTATAATTACAGGTAGTCCTTGGTTAACAACGACCCACTCATTCAGCAACTGTTCAAAGTTACAACAGTGCTGGCACTGAACAAGGGATGGTTATGTACAACCAGTCCTCGAAGTTCCAGCTGTCCCAGCGCCCTCGCAGTCATATGATTGTGGTCTGGGCACTTGGCAACTGGCTCACACTTACAATGGTTGCAGTGTCCCAGTCATGTGATCACAATTTGCGACCTTCCCTGCCAGCTTCCCACAAGCAAAGTCAATGGAGAAGCCAGCAGGAAAGGTTGCAGGTTGCTCAGGTAAGTCTCCCCCACGTGCGCACCCAGCACCTATGTGTTCGC